GAAGATAAGAATTAAATATATACCGGATACGTTAGAAATTCGGTTTGATAGAACAAGAATTGCTGACAGGATAAGAAAACATTCAGAAGCATAAAACAATGAATGAGCTGTGTATTCCCGCACATGCCGTATTGTTTCACGGTACAATATTTCGAATCCGACTTCACCATTCAGAATTATTAATGCGCTCTGTGTGCTATGGGCTTTCTTCATATAAGTGGCGTTAATAAATTAACTGACTAGTATGCAGTGGCGGGTTTTGGTGTTGCTCATTCCCATCCCTTCACTCAACGACTGACGGTCACATCCCTGTTTGGATTCATCAATGGGGATAGCTTGAGTTGGGAGTGAAACTTGGCACATAGTGCTTGGCGACCGTCGTCGTGATAACTAGTAATTAGAGCTGTGCGAGAAAAGCTTGATACAACGGCAAGAATTTACTTTTTGGGTTGTGGAGAACCTACCGTGTGACCTGGTTTGCAACCCGCAAGCTCAGTTGTGGCGGCGGTTTTCCTTAAAGTTATCCTATGCCATTCCAGGCACTAGGGTAGTGTACGAAGTGGAGGGTTTCGGTCTTACTATTCCACATCTCTGCACCCCAAGACCGAAAGTCACGTCCTTGTTTAGACTCATCAGATAGAGATGACTTGAGTTGGGAGTGGAATTCGGTACATAGCGGTTGGTCATCAAGCTCACCATAGCAATAATTGCTATTATTGTTTGACCGACCTTTTCACCACTTCGTTAAGATCTTTCCACTGACTACCAAAACACTGGTTAGCTAATCTTAGTTTTAACCTGGAATATTTTCTGCGTTTAAAAAGGCGCTTACATCAGAGCATAAATAATTTCTCTTAAGCAGTGTATTGCAAAAGATCATGATTGTACTTAGTGTTTAAGTCTTAAGGTATCCATGCATCTAAGATTTAGTGTATATCTATATGTACACATAAATGCCGTAGTCCTTTAATTAATATTCTCCGAAGTGAAGCGAAGTACGTAGCTGGCTACGAGCGATTTCGTTTATGTATTGTGAGGAACTGTTGAAATAAGAGGAATCATTCTTGAAACACAAAACTTAAGAAATTGCTTTAAATACAACATTAGGATTACCTCCAGTCATGAAAGAGCATGATTGACAAATTGGTTGTTGCATCAAAATGGATACCTTACCGAAACAAAATGGGTTCAGTTGTTCTGGGTTTAAAGTACGTTATTTGTAAGTAGTAGGGGTATGTTTTGGGTTTCGTGAATATTCATCGCAGTTAGGCTCAGGAAGACAGCCACAACACATCCAGGAAAGCGCTAGACGACCGTTTTGTCCTATTGGGAATTCTCAGTAAGGCGCACCCGCCGAATCCTATGGGATTCGAATCCACGACCTTACGTTCAACCTTAAAGCTAAGAGAGCACTAGGAAAAACCAAGCAGTAAAAATATTCTTAGAAGCATGATACTCCGCGATCAAATCGATTAATAGACACGTTAAATTTGATACCACGTACGCTATTATATGAGCAAAGAACCACCACCGCAATGAAATAGCCCTATAATATGGGACACCATCCGCGCAGGTTAGGTAAAAGTTGGAGCAGCGGAGGCATGGGTCGAACAGGCCATTTTCAAAATTTACCTGCTTAAACGACTAAGGACGATGATCGAAAAATGCATAAACGCGTGACTACTCGGTTCAAACGTACTTATGCATCATTCCGCTACGCTACACTTTAGCGCACTGTTGATTTCACCATGGCTTTTGGCGAAATGTTTACAGCAAATTTACCAAGCCAGTCGAGTGTGTATTTTAACAAATGCAAAACCTCAGCTACCTAAATTCACTTGTATACCAAAGTAGTTCTACCCATTGCACCTTAATGCTTAGCTTTAATCGGTAAGGAAATTTTGCACCCATTCTATAATATGCCTTTATTATCGAATGTTTCGATATACTGGTGGCCACCCACTTTGCAAGAAAGCCTTATGATGAAAAGGAAATAAATAATGAACATCTCAGCAAAATGCAGTATATCCCTTTAGCCATCCAAAGATAGCCCAGCCCGCTTTGAAATGGACTGCCTATGTAACCCACAGCCTTTAGATCACATAGTTAAGGTGCACCGATTTCCTTCACATATGGTGAGTGATGTATCACGTGTCCGTAATGTGAGCAGCTTTTTCCGTAAATAAGCTTTTTAGTGTACACCGGATAGCTTTAGTTGGGTGGTTTCTACATTCACCATGGGTAGAATGTTGATTTCTGACCGTGAAATTCGAAGATGCTATTCACTATTCGCACCTTCCAGCCGTCTGCAATCGGAGTCTAGAATGACGAGCAAATCTCAAGCAGGTCGTTCTTGTCGCTAAAGAACTGAAAACGCACTTGTGCTGTAACTTGAGGTGCGGTAGCCAGTCAGCTAATCATCATTTGCATACTTTTAACGAGATAAATCGAAGAGACACATATTACGTTTTGGCCTTCTTAGTCTCATATCTAATGACAAGCTGGCTGTGCCATATTTGAACTCAACGACGGAAATTCCAATTCCTAGATTGGAACATCAGAAAAACGTTACTGGCAACCAGTTGGCAGCAGATGTAGCCACAATATAGTTGTACGCATTGTTATGGACGTAGGCCGGTAGAGTTTTTCTTTTCACCTATTATCAATTTGACATCCACTGTTTTAGCAACGCCGAACTTTGTCCGTCGAGTTTATGAGCTTCCTACCACAGTGCTCCTGAAAATTTGGTGCTGCACATGCGTGGCAAATATATTTGATTGTTTTGTTAATTAGACGCAGCAAGCATCTCAATCGACGGTTATTAGAGTCTGATAACCCGCGTTTATTTATAGCTGTCCACGACCAAGTAGTATAGAGCACCATGTATACTCACCTGTCCACCTTTTCGGTGGGTACACCTTCGCTAACCAAATGGAATGTAAGATATCAAAAAAGAGATTGTTGTGGTCATAGGACAATCCGTTTCAGTGGAATATGGTAGCGGCAGTTCCATATATGCTACTAGGTCTGGGTGCTCATTTGTTGCTATTGCTTTCAGAAGCTGTATTTCGTGCATCTGTCGCCTACATATGGTCAACATTAATCTAAAGAAGACAAAACAAGACGTGTTGTCAAATATATGGGCCAGCCGAGATAATTATATTGCCACTGCCTTCACTATTACTTCCACGATAATTGTTCAAACTCACGATGCTCGGGGAGGAGATGATTGTGAATTCAGGGCTACCGAACAAGTTTGTATTCACACGTGGATAGTAAAAGGGACGATTTGTTATGCTGGCGAAATGGCGCAGCCGCTTTTCTTGCAATATTGCTTCTGAAGCAACCGCTTGGCTTGAAAACTGACAAAATGTGGTCCTTGTTTATATTTGCGTTTCATCACAATTACTTCCTGTAGGCTAAATGATGGCTGACATGGTTCGCCTTGCTCCACTGTGTCTATTTCGTGAAGGCCATGAAACTTCAAACCTATAGTTCAATCGGGCGCAGTAATAATATCGTACTTCCTTCGTCCACAAAGGTGACTAGTATAAGATATCCTCTTCACGGGATTTCATTGATAGGTAATTTTATTCCATTTTAACCCGCTCTCCCTTTTGTTGAGGATACTGCGTATCAGACTCCACAAAACGTTATTTACTTTGGAAAGGTTGGTGTCGCCTGAGCACGCTCTCGCAGACCAAATGACATTCATAAATTAATTCCGTTTTATCGACACCTAATCTGCAACACATGAATTTCTGCAATAATTCGCTTAGAAATATTTGTATTTTCAATAGCATTTAGCGTTCAGGAGTTTACACAAAAGGCTAAACTATTTATCTAATTTGAAACGAGAGTTGTCACGTTGGTAGGGCCCTATACAAATGACTGACAGGAATGCTAATCTAAAGCTACCAAGCTGGTTTACTGGGCTATAAAAACCGATCAGCAAGAAATGTGATAACACAACCATGCATCGATTTGTCGTATTGGTACGCTGTCTTCAGTACTTAGGTTTAACGTTTTCCACCAATGACAGCAGAAATCATGGTGGAGTTTACATAGTCTGCGAACGTACTCGGGGTATTCAATAATGTAAGTAATGTGAAAAATCCTTGATACATAAGTGTCACACGTAGTCCATAAATTGTGCATTACCCATACTGCAAAAGAACGTTCTGCAAGTGCTGGAATAACGGCGATGGTAAGTTATGTAAAAAGTAGCAACAACAACGTAGTTTTGCCTGCAAAATCAAAGTCCATTATGAAGCTGCATGATATCGAACTCGCTATAGTATACCTGCAATGTACTGCAGAAACCACAATAACATAGCCTTTATAACACAACCACGGCGAAGTATACGTGCGATGTGACTGCTGTGTGCACCTTGATAAAAGTTTGTGACTGCTGTCGAAAACAACATCCTCAACTTAGTTGGTGCAAGTGATCACAACGACTGGTTGATATTCAAGACTACCTTGATGTTTCTTGCAGTTCAATATTGTTGTCGAATCAAACGAGGTGGTTTGAGCCCGTGGCATTTGAATGCGGCGAACGCGCACGGAATGGAGCTTGCAGAAAAACACTGTAATTAAGTGAGAACAGCCAATTAAATGTATCTCTACAGTCAGCTAAATTTCGGTACGTCAGCATAACACCCGCAGATCCGATAGAAACATAAAGTACGGCCAGGGAACACTGATTGCAATTATCTTGCGTCACCATGCAAGAGTTAGGAAAATCTGCATAAAATCATACATTGACTGTTTGTAAACGACTAAATGCATCTGATTCTTTTTTCAGATTCCGCTATGCTAGGTTACGGTGCAAGGATTTTCATATCTTTAAACATAGATTACTTAAGCGATCATAGAATACGCATGTAAGTTTAATCATGTATATTGCTATCAGTAATGCATTTTAAACGGAGTCACGTAGTTTGTTAAAGTTTCCCTGTTCCAGTTTATAAATGGGGTTCTGATTTATGTGCATAATGTTTCAGCTCCTATAACAGGATATAATGGACTTGATCCGGTTCAGCTTACCTGGTCTGCTGATACTGGGCTTGGTGCGTTCGGTGACAAGCTATACTTTCTTGTTGCCCTTTAGTTTCAATGAAGATGGTGAGTTCGTTTATCTGTCTTAACCTTGGTATAGATGCATTCTGCAGCAATACACATGTAAACTTTTGCTAATGAGAAATGCACTATATAGATTTTATCGTGCGAATTCTAATCCAAGAAAAACTATTAAAATTCAAAATTAGTTTCAAGCTGATACTGCGTACTGTACAAGACAACGAAAGTAAATTGAAGTAAATAATGCTGTCGCAATAACTGATAATCATAAAATGACTCCTTTTATTCTGATTAAAGAATTGTAACCTCAGCATTTTCTTTTAGTTTACCCGTTAAAGATTGCATAAAAGAAAAGTACGAGCTCAGTATGTGCTCAGCTTTTCGATGGGTCAGACGGTTGTCTTTAGTGTTAGTGTAAATAAGATTTCGGTTTCATTTTATGAATAAACTTGTTAGAGTAGTACAGAGATTTTAACTGGAACGTTGGACGTCAAATATTTCTGAGTATCAAAGTACAGATAATTGACTACCGTACCGAAATGATTTTTAGAGACATTGGTTGTCTTGGATGGGACTGATTTTGAGTTGTCGTTTTAGTATTTTCATAAAGGAACAACGAGAACGCCTTCGTGGTTTTAAAAGACACCATGGTTTTCTACATCTCACGCAGTGGCATTTCGTGTTAACACTACTGGTTTGTAAAAATGGAAGGCGATAAATCCTTTATGATTGAGCAAAAGCAGTCAGGACATTAGGTAACAACTTTACTAGCCGCTACATTGTTTCAAGCTTTAAAGCTCATATGTTTATAACACATATATTGCATGTTTGATGTTCATACGTTTGCAACACTTCTGAATGTACGCGACAGCTTAAATTCTTTGCTTTCCCCGATTCCTTGCATTTCTTCATTTCACGGTATACGGTAACTGACAGTGAACCTACGTCCCCTTTGATACGAAAGCTATGCAGCGCTTGTGTCAGTATGCCGTGGGTGCAAGTGCTGTGATAAATTAATGCTTTTTTGAGGCGATACGGTGTAGCTGGACTCAGCCAGATAGCCAATAGGCATTCTGAAAAAAGCTGTACGACATCTTTATTCTAGTAGAATGAAAATAGGACTCCTCAGTTGCGTGCACTTACCGGATTGTAACCCATGACCATACTCTTATGTTTCCGTGACTGAAGATACTGAGGCATGGGTGATGGCGGATCAGCTTTCAGAGTCATATTTATCCGCGATAGACCACAGCATATCCTCCACAACTAAGCAACATATGTTCAGGCAGAGGAAATAGCTGACTAGCAGAACAACGACTTCCTTCATCAGTAGCCAGCAATAAAGTTAGTGTGTTAGCAGATGAAGCGGTTACTGATTATTAGTGTGAAGTATTGGGCTTTGTTGGAATTTTGAGATTCGTCCCTGCTAAACTCAAGCAGACAACCATCACACATCCAGGATATCGTTAGTCAGGCTTTTTATCCTATTGTAGCTCGTCAGTAGCGCGTACCCGAGGCATTCCGCCAGATTAGAAAACATGAATTTATTCTCACCAGTCAGTGCATTACGCTTCTGAGCAGTGGGTGAACGTGGCGGACCCTCATGACTGATAATTAACTGTGTTATAGCGTACCTCCTCCCCCACTACCAAGCATATTATGAATGTGTATTGGCAACGACATTTTTCGCAGGCTATCACCAAACAGGTTGGTAAGAATGCAGCTAAGGCGATAATCGATAACCAGTGTACGGTAGTGAACATTGTTAGGCTATTAGGAATCTGGCATTATTTAGCTGGAACGCGTAAGTAACGAAAATAAGTAGGATGAAACGGCCATCTGGCAATTTCTTGGATGTGTTGTGGCTGTTTAGCTGAGTCTAGACGTGATGAATCTTCTCAAAATCCTAACAATCACCCTACATCGCATTGACCATTAGAACTTTTTTATATTTGTCTTCGTTGAATTTGATTTGTCTGCCGAGTTACCTTGTCTGGGTCAATGTGCACAGAAGGATAATCAAGTAGCGCATTAATCCTTAGCCACTTTTATTATAATTGGCAAAACGTAGGAGCTCTAAATAAGCAGCACTAGCGAAACCAAAAGTCATCTCCAGTATTTGAGTTTACGAAATACTTCTTATTTAATGGCAGTTTACTTTCGATTTTGATGCCGGGGATGGTAAACACGGACGTTCAAACGGCAATTGCTGTTGGAAATAGCCCTTGGCATTCAAATCAATAAATGTCGTCAAAGATTATATAACTACTGTTTAAGAATATGGATTTAGTGATCTAGACAATCAAAAGCTTAAAGCAAGAGCCGGCTGTTAACATTGGCCATCTCTTCCATGTTATTCGGTTAACTCTAATATGCGTTATTAGCAAATTCCTTCCCACGATAGTCCATATTGAAATTCAGCTTCTGAATGAGGTTGTTCAACTCCTCCGAGTTGACCAATATAGTATTGGCAGTGTTCACTTACGCAAAGGCAACTATCAACTGCTAAGCTTGTTCCGATGTCGTTTCTTTGGTTAAGCTACTCGTGGGTGTTATACATTCTACCAATTACTCCGAACTCGATCATGCAAACGTCCCATATAGTCTAGCATCCACAAAACACTCCCTACATTTTACGCTTGCTAATCTTAATTTGGTGCTTGCTTTCAAAATGCGTAATGACGCCGTTTATGTGTTGTTAAGAGTTGTGCGACAAAACTGATGCGCCCGCACCAGTTGTCAAGTAACACGAGCGACGGCCAGGTTGCACCCGAACTACTGAACAGCACGCAACAATTTGATGTCCCCTGTGCACCCCCGGTCAATATTCATCATGGTCTGTGGACGCCGGATGGCCTATCCTGTCTTTTACCATATTAGAAGCTCCCATACCGCTTGAAAAGCGTGCAACAATCAGCCAGTTTGCCACTCTATATCAATCGGTTTTCATAAACTTGAACTTGCCTGGACATGGATACTGTAGACAGCACAAAACGTAATCTCGAATATATTGCGTCCTTCGTGCTGCATTATTCGCCCACTTTCATTTCCCCCTCCAATACATCTTTAAACAGCAACTGATGTTTGGCTTGACCCGTAAACTTGAGATTGTGCAATATTATTATTAGCATAAGTAAACACGCCCTACTTTCCATTTCGCAAGGAGAGAAACAGTGCAGGTCTTAGCGATTATACTGGCGTACTGGCTGAGGCAGTGAATTAACACTTAACAAATAGATTTGATGGAAGTATATAGTATTACTTTTACAACTAAACTCGCTCTTTTACCTTTCAACTTGTGACCTAAATACTCCAGGGCGAGCAAACCTTACCATGAGGTCCTCTGCTACGTTTCGGATGGTTTGGTCATTGTTACTTTCGGTGATTGATGCGGAGTGATGTTTCTCACCTTCAGAAGCGTTTTTAAATGTTGTTGCTTTGTAAAGTTTATTAATATTAACCACAGCGTAACCGTTTTTTTGTTACGCCAGCGGGATATGGCTAATTGCAATGCGACAAATCCTGTACGGTTGATTAAGTGTTGCTACTCCGGAAAGCGATTGACTTATGTGTAAAACATAAGTTGGTCTGACTTGCCGCTTGACGCATTATAAGCGCAGCTGTAAAGGTCCAGCTAATTCCCAAACGGTTTTTCCTTGCGCAAGTTAGAGAATGAGAGTTAATAAGAAATGATGTAACGAAATATAAAACTATCATATTTGCTTCCGTGAGGAAAGCTAGTCAGAGAGATCGATCGAATATAGTTTTACTACCGCAAGATGGGGCAATGTGTTTTAGTTCCACAATGAACTGCAAACATTGTCATTTGGTGTGTGAATGCATGCTCTTAGCTCCTAGGTTAACGTCAGGAATCTTTGTAACATTTATACAAAATAACACATGCAGTTCATCAAAGACAGCAACGTAATGCAAAGTTACCTCTTGCTCGACTATTCCCTTTCAAGTGTTCTACGCACTCAAGTCATCATGTAATTACCCAACTACAAATACGAGTCGAAAATAAACTGGTTCCGAATTTCACATTAAATATGCAGCACTTTATCCTCATTTTACACCCATGATGATGCGAGACAAAGGTCAAATGTGTTGCATTATGGCAGAGAAAACTTTTTGAATTTGACAATACAGTTCCGAGAGAACCGTTGCTTTGCAGAAATATTTATACGTGCTAAAATTTGGTACGTAATGCATTGGAATAACGGTAGGCATAACCCGCAGTTCAAGTGACGTACTACGACCATCCGTGGAACAGACTACTGGGGACTTGCTTCTATATGGAGTAGCCGTTCGATAGGTTGCGTCCGCAGTTCCACTCGTCTTTTGGCATTGTACTGATGTAGAATTAAGGCATGTTACCCAGGGTTATGCTGACAAGGATATTTTGGGTGCTCATATAAGCAATAGGCCATCCGCCTGAAAATAAATTATTTGTAATGTTATTATCTTTATCTATTTATTATTTAACACGTGATCTATAGGTGGGGAAAACGTAGTTGGTGTGCCAAAATAAAATTCACTAAAATGATAGCAAATATAGTGACAAAATGCGTAATGCTACATGCGATGATATCGTGGCTAGCTGGTTCGTTGCTTAGTGAGAGGTGTGGACTATGGAGCTTACTACACTAACGCTAAGAACTCAAGGTGCGATCATATTAGTTATTGTAGCTTACGTCATCGACCATCTGCATCAATTATTACCATAGATTTTTCCATGCATCTTCGAAGTCACTCCTGTATTTTGCGTGGCGCGCGTTACTTTGAGTTGCTATCTCTAATAGGTTTGCAACACCCGAGTGTTCATCTTCCGTTGGTTCTTTAATATTTCCACAGTAGTACCTGCTACTTGCCCACCACACTCTCGCGCATTTAAGTGTTCCACGGCAAGACCACTTTGCGAGTCTCTCTGACATTAAGTGGGCTGCTCACCATTCGGAGAGATTTATTCCTTTAAATCAACTCATCTTAGTTTTCTGGCACGTCATCGCTGATGGTCCTCCTGATGAAAAATTGCATAGATGGACTGTTTTGGCTACAAGTCGGATCTGAACCCCTCCACTCTAGGAGCGAGTTCCATTTTCCTGAGCCGTATGTGAGTGCTCGTTGACAATCCCAGTCTGTTACTCAAAACCGATTCAGAACTTGTTGTGTGGCAGTACTGGATTGGGACTTTCCATTATCTGCACCTGAGTTGCATTTATGTTAGGGTTATATGTCTTTATGATATCCTGTATTGCTTTTGGAATTTTTTCACAAATCTGCAACCTTTTGCTTCTTAGATAAAAGGGGAATCGAGCAGTTCGACTGCACAAAAATAGCACAGTGACTTTTAGGTAAATATAAGTTTGGACGCTATGTGTGCTAGCAAAAGCAATGCTAAAGCTTCCTTCACTTATCCGCGCTTTGCAGCCAGCCACTTATTCATCTTTCTATTTTTCCGCTCCGTCAAGTCATTTATTTGCGAATGTTAGAGGGTTGTTTACACTTTCTCGATACCGAGTTTCCCTAAACAAGTCCAAAACAACACGCTCGGAGTACGGACGCTGGTCTGTTAAAATGCCCTTTGGGATTGTTTGATTCGCTACCAAGGGGTTTTATTATATCATTCTTTATTATACCCACTTGTAAAGCTGGGATACCTGTTGCTTCAATCATGGGTTTGAAATGATTGGTCTTCAACTCTATGTATTGGTTACCTTGTTAATAGAAACAGCCTATTATATGGAGGGACTACAGCTCACCAATTTCAGATTTTGGAGTCGACGGTGCTAGATGTTCTGCTCCTCGTCTATCGGTTTTCGATAGCAAAGGGACAATTGGGTATACGTTTTCTTTGTACGCCTAGCTAGTAGGCGCATAATTTCAGCAAATCGTAGGTAGACGTAAGCAATATTTGTCAATGCTTCAAAAGTTCTCACCTTATTTTCTTCGGGATTCCGAGCAAGGGGGCTTTGATATATCGATTTTCACGTGTTGTCTATCCTCAGAGAAAGATAGTCGTCGGAAGTTTGGATGCAGTGGAAACAATAATGCAAAGGAATGCTTGATTTTCATCCAGGAAACGTACAATACTATGATCTACTGGAGCGCATGTCATAACAAAGCAACTTATAATTAAGACAGCATGCAAGCGTACTTGGTATTCAATGTTTCATGCAACATTTGCCAGTTTTGTAACCGATCTGGGGGAAAGCGCTATTTGCCAGTTCTCTCTACCAAATAATGTGCGTCATTCGACTAAAGACTAACCAACGAAAGTGATTCCAAAGCGCGTTTCAATAGTTTTGCTAATTAGCATACTGCTTAATCGGTCGGTGGTAATACTGCGCTTGGCTATTGAAGCGAAAAGTGATCGAGCTTGCTAAATACTGCTTTTATTTCCAGGTGATGCCTTCATTGAATACAAAGGCACGATTTACCTTTCCGAAGAAACGCGCAACATTGTGTACAAGGATGACGAAGGATGTACAGTGAAGCTACATTTGAGACGACCTCAACCGAAAGAACGACGCAATGGTCGAGGCTATATTGGCGGTTCAAGGTGAATTTGTAAATTCACACAATGCATAAAAATAAAACGATTTTGGCAAATTAATAAAAAATAAATAATAAAGTAACTTCGGAGGGCAACTGCATAATTAACTTTTCTGTTTTGAAATTTAATCGATTACTTAGGAAGGACAATGCCGCTAACTCCAGTGCATTTTCAAAACAGCAAACCACACCAATTATTGTTCGGTTGCTAAGGTCCATGAAGTAATGCAAATTGCAACATCAATCTTGAATATGCTATATTAAAAGGGGAATACGTACCGTAACCTTGTTACTAGATATTCGAAGCGCATAAGTGTTTTACTATGGTTCTATCTGGTAATTACGCCGAAGTGTTGTACTCCAACGACATCGAACGCATGGCGCTGTAGCACATGCGGTCGCGAGTGCCTGAATCAGGTAAGCCTGGGGAGCCAAGATCGATGTCACTCGGGGCCAACGCCGAAACGACGACGAGTCCTGCAGAGAAGGTAGGCAGAACCGGCACATCCTTTGAAGGTAAGATGCATTCGATTTACTAACCGCTTGCTTGCATGATGGGTTTTTTATTTCAGGTGGTGGGTTACCTATATTGTCCCCTTAATGCCTACTTGAAATATTTCCCCTTAACTTGTAAACGTCGCTCAAGTTAATTGTAGTTAAGTTTGATAACCTTTTCGTGGTTTTGATATTCTTTCTTAAAATATACTTTTTGACGTCTTGGACATTTTGCCGATGTTTTGGCAAACAATTTATTTCATATGATTAAAAGTTATGCCCCGTGTTGAGACTGATGTTGCATTCGTGATGGCTCTTCACGGCAGTTGAGCTAAACCAACTTGCGCTCATACTAGGTCTTTTTAGCCTGTGTAAAATTCATTCCAATTTGTTTGGTTATTTCTGCCTAATAAAATAATCTTTTATTAAAGCTTACGCTAACTGCGCTTATCTTCGTTAAGTTCTTGCGTTTGTAGCCATTTTGTGAAAATTCTGAACATTCTGTACTCATAGCGATTTCATTGATAACCAACTTGCTTCAAATGATAATTTTGCGAAGAATTATGTTTGCATAGCCGTATGCTTTAACTTATATATTTTATTTGATAATGTCATTTAAAGTGATTGGCTATTGTTTGACATCCCTGGTGTGCCTGCGCTTGCTGTGCATATTGACAAAGTGCGTACCTGTCTATTTCTTCCATACTGGCTCTAGAAGACAGTTGGTCGTTGCTGGAAGGGACGGGATGCACGGTCCTTGTTATCATACTAGGCTTGAACAGTGGTTCCCTGCACTCAGTGTGGAGCGGACTACAGTCCAGCTATCTGCTTGTGGGCGCTTGTTCCCCTGAATACAGCGTGCTTGAGTTTCCTGTGTAGGATTTTGGGCCGGCTACGTTGATGAAATGTGGTTTCCATCCACATTCCTCCTGGTCGTATTCCATCGAGTTTACACCGAGTATGGGGTGTGTGGTTGGAGCTGTGGGTGGTGCAGCGCAAGTCATCCATGGTCCTTTTGTAGGCACCGGCGTTCTGTGGCTTACCACATTGACGGTCATATCCCAAACCAAATGCCGCCAACCGTATCTCGTACTGCGAACGTGTTCCGGCGTCCAACTACACGAAACATTGCTCGCACGCCGAAGAGCGAAATTAGTATCAGAAAGTCACTGGGGTTTGTTATCAATGGGGGATTAAGTTTGGAAGCCCTAATAAGGAGAACAAGTTGTGTAGAGCTTCAGTTACCTGCGTCGGCCGTAAGCTAGAAATAATCCCGATAAGTTCATGCTGAAAATTTTCGGTTGTTCGAAACTCGCCTCGGTTGATCGTAAAACAGGCGGGTGGTCTGTACTCTTTCACTGTACTTACGCTGAAGGATAAAATAGTGGAGACTCTACTGAACAACTAAATTAACGGCGTTTGAGCGCTCTAAGCTTAAGCAGTCTGTCTTCGTAGAGCTTGATATTGTTATTAAGCTGCTTTTCCTTGCAGTGTGAAAGTAGACTTAGGTCTTCCCAGAAGAAGGTAAGGTGCAGCAGTTAGGGGGCCGGAGTGAAAATTCGCCAGTCATCTTACATCCCGAAGCTCTTGAGTTATGACATAGTCTGGTTGACGGACAGACTGAGACTTGCAGCAAGACTTGCATGTGATCGTACTGAAGTGCGCCCCAGACATATGCACAATACTTATGTTTCAACTATTAGGTTGTGCACAAACAAAACATAAAGCAAGTTTTTGGATGGGCGGAAAATGTAACCTGATGTACAAGAGTAACCGGAAAATGTCCTCCTGTCACTTGCCTATGCCACTAGCACAGGGTTTTCATTCACCTTTTTAGTCACCTTTCTTCCCTTGAAACCTTTGTCCCAAGAGCAATTGAAATGTTTACTAAGGTAATAAACTACCAGTCCCGCACAGCGTCAGGATGCAGATGATAACGGCACATCGTGGAAAGCCACATAACAAAAATAGTATCGTATCAAGTGACCTCGCTTGCTGTCTTTCTTGTCAAGTTGCAAGAACGTGGTATGAATGTGTACTGTTGAAAACCGCGATGTGCGATCTTTAGATCATTCCGCTTCAGCGGAGTCTACAGAACTGTCAGATTTATTCATAATACGAGGACCGAGATGTGGAGCAAGCTTAGGGATCGATAATGAATCACCTTGGTTGCGTCGCCGCATTCCGGAAGTTTCTTTACGTCAAACATGTCTAAGCGCTGGCTATGAAAATTTCGCACATCATACTTTTAAGCAACTCATTCATCATGGAAAAGAGGAGTAAAAATGAACATATGTTTAGTGGTTGGAGGACACTCGTATCAGCGGATTAATGCCGTTGCGAACGAACAGACGTTTACGTACAGCACCCCCACAGCAACTCCCAGTTTATTCCTTTAAGTGACAAGCAAGTCACACTCTACTCAAGCACCTGAAAATTGGTAAATGTGCGGTCGAATTTCACTGACAGTGCTGATGTTCGCTGTGCTTGCGGTAGTTATTGCCAGATCATATCACTTACATTTGGCTGTTAACTTACATTCTTCAAGCATCGATACACATTCACAGATATCACATTAGCGGCGACTATTTTTGATGGCTGCAATTTACTATCCAAGCGGTAGATGACTGTATTATTACTACTGTATAGTTGTAATTACCCTGAGTTACCTTGTAATCATCGGTGTAACCTGAGCGGAGTATAACTATTTATTATGTACCACCTTGAGCTTAACGTGGTAACTCGAGATTTAGCGTCCTATATTATCTCGTTCCCAAATAACTTATCGTGGGTAACGGTGTTTGGATTAACTCTGGGAAAAGAAGTATACTTTGTCTAATTCCTCCTTGTATTCAATATAACTTGCGTAGCGAGTTCTTAGCAAACTCAGGAGAAAGATTATCAATGTGTACGAATTGTCGTAAATGGTCGCCACCAGCTCACAGATCATGCATTGCAAGAAGAGCAGTGTCTGTTTGTATTTTGACTGCTACAGTATCGAGGCCAAATCGTAAGAACTAATTTGACGAACATACGCCTTAGTCTTTTTCATTCGCGACACTTCCTAAGCCAATAAGAAGGATAAGAGCTTCTTGATCTATTTAACGCCGCTCAGTCCTGTGGCCAATACAATCGAAAAATTGGTTGGCCCCCTCCCCTTACTTAATGTGTCCAGCAGCGTGACTGCAAACGTTATTGGTAGTTGAGTCCTCCGTTTCATCGACAGACACTGCTACCTAGTAAAGTCAGCGTTCATTCCAAGAAAGGTACATATACTGCAGTCAATGGCATTTAGCCTTGATACAGCTGTGCGCCGTCATATAGTAAAGAAGGAATCAGAGCGCAATACTCACAAGGATTTCCCTAGCTCACTACTGAAATCTGTTCTGTATGAAAGCAATCAGTTGGAAAAGCTGCTTAAATGGCATCCTCAACTGCTCAAGACGATTATTAATGAGGGAGAGTGGCCTTTAGGCGAGCGCTGTCTGGTTCTCGTCAATGCACCTGAAGATGACAAGCTGACAGCAGCATAGAAGTTATTGGACGAGTATACATTACTAAAGCACATTTTCTCCCTGACGTTTGAAGTTGACAAACTTCGGATCAATAAGGTTTCGCATTTCGCCTCGGTAAAAGGTAGAGCGAACCTCCCAAGTTTCGTGCCCTTGACTTATTCCGTCAAGATGAGGCCGAAAGACGCCGCTTTTCAAACTGATCTCGAGTCGCAAGGGGGAATATGTCCCGATGCATCTCTGGCTGAAGACTATGTTAAAATGAAAGCGACAGCCAATTCGCCTAGAACTTGTTGATCGAACGGGAAAAGGAACACTTTCCGTGGATGTTCCTGTTGTTAAGGAAACTTCGAAATATCCCTAGAGTAAGGCCTAGCAATGGTTGTGTCTTGACGAGGAAACGGGACGAGATTCTCACTGTTGCTTCGTATCTTCGCCCAGATCTTCTAAATTGCACAGATTCCAGGCTAACCCTGAGCAAACTTGATGCGAGGCTCAAATCCAATGACATAAGCAATTTGGGCTGCTTGCATGTAGAAAAAGACCGCGGGCAACGCTATCCTTTAGTGAAGCTCAGACCACATTTTACACACAATCGATGGTATCAGTGACGGCGTTTCAGCAAAGTATTGGCGTAGAGTCTATGACGGATGCAAACTCTTCACCCTAGGGGTGGAGTACAAACCCTAGTCGAATAAAACTGCCCGCCTTCTGGACTAAGACAAAACAAATGGGGGAGGCAAGAACTGATTACCGCTGGGATGCTTCAATGCTACCCGCGTCGACTGATATCAACGCAAAGGCATGGTCTATCCTAAGTCATTCATATCTGAACTTTTTCGTGTAATTCATGATAAAAATCTAATACATCATCTCCCCATGCAGATCAAAGTACTCATTGCGTGTCACTGCCTGTCCTCGTTTTGTAGACAGCAAGGGTATCTGACTTCTCCAGTCTGACTACTCAGCCATCAAATAACCATATTAACCAATTCAATCTTTTT